CTAATCTAGCTGGATGTACAGTGTGAAAGGTGTGATTAGAACAGGTTTACACTAGAGTGAAAGGTGTGATTAGAACAGGCTTACACTAGTGTGAAAGGTGTGATTAGAACAACTTACACTAGTGTGAAAGGTGTGATTAGAACAGGTTTACACTAGTGTGAAAGATGTGATTAAAACAGGTTTAAACTAATCTATCTCGACTACAAAAAAGATTAGTTACTATGTGCAGCGTGTCATGACATGTAAATTTCTAAAGTCATGGTGATAAAAAACATTACGAAATATTACGTCTTCAGTTCGTTAATGTCGGTTTCTCTTGAGTTGATTTTAATACGTGGAAGTTAATTATACGGTTATGTATTAATTTAATTTAATTTAATTTAATTCTACCAAAATACATTAACAAGGTTATTTAGATTTGTTTTACCAAAATACATTAACAAGGTTATTTAGATTTGTTCACGAAGTGTAAAGAAAACAACAGATCAATCTTTTTTTATTATTCTCTCTATTTACCAGTTTTATTCTTCTACAAAGGCCGTCTTTCTTTCTTTTTTATTTTACGCATAATATTTGTTTGTAGTTATGCACAAAGCTATACAATGGGCTATCTCTGTTCTGCCCACCACGGGTATCGAAACCCGGTTTCTAGCGTTGTAAGTCCACAGACACGCCGCTGTGCCACTGGGGACTACACATAACTTCAGTTTATGTTTGTTTCGGATACTTGCCCAAAGCTACACGGGGGCTATCTACGTATTTCGCCTCTAATTTGAACTGATAAACAAGAGAAGCGGCAGCTAGTCACGAGCACCCACCGCCAACGCTTGGACCACTCTAATAGAATAGTCACTTTTATAACCCATCCACAGCCCAAAGTGCGGAGTGCGGTTTTGCAGGAACGTGATGCGAACCAATGACCTTTGAATTCACAGTCTAGCACGCTAACGAATTGGTCACGACCGGCCCATTTTTTTTTTAGTTTATAAATTGCTCGGCGACTGGTGATTTCTGTAGAAATCAATGATCAAATCTTCCGAGAAGATTTAAACAGAATTCCTTGATCAGACCTATCGGGAAGATTTAAACAGAATTCCTTGATCAGACCTATCAGGAAGATTTAAACAGAAATCGTTGATCAGACGTTTGTAATGAAGCACAAAGCTATACAATGGGCAATCTGTGCTGTGCCCGCCAGTATTTTTATGTACTTCCTTATTCAAAGTAAGTGTATGTCAATAATAAAATACGTTAAGATTATCGACAGTGCTTTTTTTGGGGTTCAGACAGAAGAGAAAACATTACATAAATGTTTTGTAAATATTTACAAAAATTCAACATCCATATCTTTACTGTCACTATTGGGACGGGTTAACTGATGGTTAAGGTGTTGTACTGTGGTTCCGAGGGTCACTATTGGGCCGGGCGTGGCCTAGAGATTAACGTGTAAGACTGTGGATCCGAGGGTCACTATTGGGCCGGGCGTGGCAACAAGATTAACGTTTAAGACTGTGCATCCGATGGTCACTATTGGGCCGGGCGTGGCCACATGATTAACGTGTAAGACTGTGGATCCGATGGTCACTATTGGGCCGGGCATGGCCTATGGATTAACGTGCAAGAATGTGGTTCCTATGGTCACTATTGGGCCGGGCATGGCCTATGGATTAACGTGCAAGAATGTGGTTCCTATGGTCACTATTGGGCCGGGCATGACCTATGGATTAACGTGTAAGAATGTGGTTCCGAGGGTCACCATTGGGCCTGGCATGGCCTAGGGATTAACGTGTAAGAATGTGGTTCCGAGGGTCACCATTGGGCCGGGCATGGCCTAGGGATTAATGTGTAAAACTGTGGTTCCGAGGGTCACCATTGGGCCCGGCATGACCTAGTGATTAACATGTTGAATTCTTATCTACCACTGCTAAAAAAAAATCGGACTCTATACTTTGGGACCTTCGGAGCATTATAATAGTGACGGTCAAATCACATTATTCGATTAAAGCAGTCCAACCGTTGGCGGTGGGTGCTGTTGACTATCTGCCTTCACTCTAGTTTATCAATTGAAAATTAGGGACGTCTAGCACAGATTGTTTTTGTGTAGTTTTGCACGAATCTGAAATAAACCAAACTTTCACTTGTTGTTTTTATTTTTGCAAACCAGGTGGAACTTCTGAACATTATATTAAATCTGTAATGAAAGTAATTTTATTTGATAATCTTCTGGTGTTAGTCATTTAATTAGAATTCTCTACTCCGTTAGTGGTGGCATCTAGTGGTTTTTATCTTAACTATAATTAGCTTTTATTAATGTTTGAAACAAGAATTTACAACACAGTCGACAGTAAAGTGGATTTTTAATAATAAAACATCTAATTAGTTCTATCACCCTAGGAACCAGATGATTACTATCAATCAATTAGTATCAAATATGCCACATTTAGAAACAACATTACTGTAAGATCCATCTAACCAATCAACATTGTTCAAGTCATCTGGTTTTTATCATTAAGTTAAAAGAGAGTTTGTTTGTTTGTTTTTGAAATTTGCACAAAGCTACACGAGGACTATCTGCGCTACCCGTCCCTAATTTAGCAGTGTAACACCACACACCGCCAACTCTTGGGCTACTCTTTTACCAACGAATAGTGGGATTGACCGTCACATTATAACGCCCCAACGGCTGAAAGGGCGAGCATGTTTGGTGGGACGGGGATTCGAACCCACGACCCTCAGATTGCGAGTCGAGCGCCCTAACCACCTGGCCATGACGGGCCCTTAAAAGAGAGAGAATTGTTATCAATTTGTTCCTCTGTAAAACACCAATCTCACCCCACCCCACTTTATATATATCTCTTGAAATAATTTGTTAACATTCATATTCCTAAACTTACCCATTGCTATGATATGATAACGATTTTATAAAATATGAAGTTAGTATTATAGGACATATCTTCTTATTTTTAAATTCAGTTTTCAAAAACCGTTAATTTACCATTTAAATATATTCTTAATAGAAACCCAGAAAATCTTTATGTTATCATTGAACAAAACTACAAATGATACAGTTGTATATATAAATATATATATACCAAGTAATTTTAACTTCCTATTGTTGATATAATAATGTCGTTCTAGCTGCCTTGTCATTCTATTGAGGTCACACCTGTTCTGCCCATGTTGGGTTGGCTGTAATGCTGCTCGTTGTACAAGAGGGTAGACAACAGCGTACTTCAATAGTAGATCAGGTGGTATATCATAGTTAAGGTCTTCTCTATCCTTGAATGAGAATGACCAGTAACGTGATAGCGTTAGTTGAACTAGGTAAATCGGACGTTACCTGAAAAGTAATGAACGTAGAATTTAAACAGTTAAAGTTATAACATCGAGTTGAAGCGACCGTCCCGTGTTTAATAAGAATAAGCACACACTCTTTGTTCTTGAATGAATAAAGATTGTTCATTTTGCGCATTATCTTGTATCTTCAGTTATTCAAGACTTGGAACATCTTGTCGAATACCTTGCTAAGTGGATCAACCAACCCCCTTGCTGTGAGGTTAATTTAGTTGGATCTGAATATACCACAAAACAAAATATAACATTAAATGATTAAGGAATATTTTTTAGAATGTTTTTAATATCTATCTTCAACTTGCTTACTAACAATTACACTTACGATGAATTCTGTATATAATATTAAACTTTCTATCAATACTCTATTTGAAAATAACCTAAAGTCCTGACAGAGTATTTGGAAGTTGTCATAGGTACATCATTTGCTACAAAACAGTAACTAGACGTTGTCATCATATGTTGACATAATATTATTTTACCTGTACAGTGTAGATTGTATTATCTACAACCAAGACCACATTCTTTATCTGATGGGTGTTTTCAAATCATGAACCAAGAGGTCCTTTCTTAAAAGGGTGGATGAAAGTGATATTAAACTCTTAAAAAAAAGAGGTGTTTTCAAGAATTCTCTTATATATGATTTAAAACACTGAAACGGTTGTTTCACTTGCTGTAAAAACGGAAGAAAAAAGTAGGTAACAACAGTCTTTATTTTTTGCTTAAGAATTTAAACGTGTCTTTGATAAATTGTGGAAATATACGTAAACATTACCCAGAGAATTATTAAAGGGAGACAAAAGTACGTATATAGAAATATTTTTAAACCCAACCTAAATGAAAGAAATTATTTTTGTACAAAACATTAGTGATTTTTTGTCTTTCATAAATTCGTAATTTAGAAGTGAGGTTTGAAAACTTTATAAATATTACAGTTTTGAAAGCGCACTTTTTAAAACACGAACACATAACCCACAATCTGTGATTTTTTAAATAGGGAAAAAGTATAATTTTCACTTTTTTTTTCCGAATGCCTGTGACCAGAAGGAAGACAGTCAGCCAGCAGCGACTTATCACACACCATTCACTATGAAATTAACTGTGACTCTTATAACGCACCAATATCTTAAAGCGTGGGTAATATTTTGTGCGATCGCACTGATTCGAATCTGGTTTGCCGGCCTTTTTCCCCTAACAAAGATAAATTTCACAAAATTTTAAATACTCTGAGAAAAATTAATTGCGATTTTATCTATGCATACAATAGTTAATTATTTTTAAACTATTCGTTATTATAATAAATAAGATTAATATGAACATTTTTATTGAATTCTTTGTGAGTTTGTCTACTAAAAACTTCCTTACGTTCTCTTGAGGTTTATTAGGGTGTACTTTGGAAGATAATATTGACTTCAATTCACCAGAAAATCAACTTGTATTGGCGAATGTAGAAATTCAGTAAGCTAATGACGATGGGAGGAATGTATAATTACTTTATTAATTAATAAATAAAACAAATAAAATGAATAGTTAGAGAGATAAAGACGTTTCAAATATATATCAAGTGTGATAAGCAAAACCATATTTTTTAATAATATGGAAAATAGTAAATTTATTGATGATCCCCTTTTTCCTTTCTTATCATATTTGGCGGGAATGATAACAAACCTCCAGTGCGAAAGAGGTATTGTTTACTGTAGTGTCTCTAGTTGTTTGATACGAAACAAGTAAACCTTCAAAGATAATCAAAAGAGGAAGAATTTATTGGTAAGTTTAGGAAAACTGTTTTATTTTCTTGATTTGTTTTTGTCTACATCTTTTTTTTTTTTTTAAACATGAGCCTTACGCTTTACTAGAGCCTATGCTCTTGCAACTACAACTTACAAGGCTACAACAACAACGTAAGCCTAGTCTATACTGTCAGTAGTAAAGAAAGAAGCACTTGAATAAGAGCTCACTCATCAAAGTGCTTGAGTTTCTGGGACAGTTTAGGTATCTGTGCTATAACAATGTTCATGAAAACTGATGTTACAAGTAGCACCTGTGACCTGGACCACTACGTCTATCGTATCCCAGCTGGCCTGATGAGTCCTGATATTGGGTGAAAGGCCTTGTGTGGAGATAGATAATGGATGCAGTGTGGTTGCCATGACATATTTTATTTAACTTTCATTCGTGTGTACGTAGAGTTAGTAAAGAAAATCCTACATTTAAAATGGATTATATTTGAAAAACATCATTGGGTCATAAAGAATATGTATTAATATACTGTCATTCAGGAGGGTTTGGACATGGTATAGGGTGTTTAAAAAAATAAAACATATTAAGCCTATCCCTTACTGCAGATTCTGTGAGCATCATCTGTTCATTGGGTATTATTTATCAATCTTGTCTAGTGGCTACTTTCAGATCCTCCAAATTTCTGGGCTTATTCCTAGAGATTCCCATTGAAGAAACCCCATAGACAGAACACGATAATTTTGAAACTTATTGTATCATGTCCAAACTTTCTCGGATAAATATTATAATTATTTCAAATATTTCTTTACAGTCATTGGCTGACGATGTTAATGAGTTAAAAAATATTCCAACTATTGGTTAATCTAGTCAAGGATTTCACCAATTATTAACAACAGCAATGTTTAAAAATATAATAAAAACACGTGGTTAACAATTTCAGGTCTACAACTGGCTTCTCTATTTTTTTAAGCTGACTTGCTTCCTTTTATGACTTTGTTTTCTGTCAAATGTACAAATTGTAGTTTGATGAACGTCTTATAGGAAAAATGATGGCTTCTGGTGTGGGAGATTGTGGCTCAAAAAATGGCTCAAGTGAAGAACATTTTGCTTTCAGCAAGCATCCAAACCTTGAAGATATGTAAGTATGTTTAGGTCAGAGGTTTCCCGGGGAATAACCAGGCTGTTGTTAGAGTTGTGTAACCATTGTGTTGAAGGGAAGGTCATTACTGGTAAACTACTCTGTGGAAAAAAATATTTTTTTTTTTTATTGTGGGCCATAGGTAAACTTTGTAGAAAATTTCAAAACAGGAAATAATTTCTTAGGCAGGGAGAACAGGAGTGAAAAAAAAAATTATGCTTAAATACCTACGTTAGTACTTATAAGTAAAGTTTAGAAACCAGTAGAGGTACATATAAGAAGCAAGCTTTCTAAGATTTGTTAAAATATGTACGAGCATTGTGGTGAATAAAATTAATTTTGAAAACAGAAGAATTTAATGTCTGTAAAACTGCCAGCTGGAGTTGTCAACATTTTGTTGTTTTTCTAATGGAGGTAAATAACACAATTGTAAATAAGAAAGTAAAACATTACTTGGTTTGTAGAAATTGTAAAAAACTTAACCGAATTCAGACAAATGGCTGACTGTTTAAAACAACAAGATTTGTAGAGAAGCTTTTTAACATTTAGATATCACTGCAGTGTTGAGATGTGGTTCTCAATCTCATGGTATATCACTGTAAGATATAAACTAATCTCATGGTATATCATTATGAGGTATAATCTTAAAGTTTCATCTTGTAAAATATGATTATTTTTCGATCGTAAATGTAAATTAATTTTAATATTGTAATTCTCTTACATTTTGTGATTTAATTTATTATTTTTAATTATTATGATTGTGGACTTACAAAGCTAAAAACTGGGTTTCAATACCTGTGGTGGGTAGAACACGGATAGCCCATTGTGTACCTTTGTGCTTTACTTCAAGCGATCGTTGACTTATACTGTAAATTCAAGAACCTTCTTTTAATTTTGTTATTTTTAAATAATTTAGTCGAAAACTCCAGGCTGAATTTTCTCAGGAGAGGAACTGGGATCAATATCACCAACCTCGAAATCTTCTTCTTGCACTAATGGGTGAAGTTGGCGAAGTAGCAGAGTTATTGTAAGTAATTAGTTATCTAATCTTATGTAAACTAGCAATAAAAATCATAACCTTTCTACATAATCCTCTTATTGCAAACAAAACTTTATTTTTAACATTGGTTATAAAACTTTGCTATGATAAGATAGTTTAGCAAGTGAATCTACGTCCTTCGTATGAAAAAATCACTTTTATTGCAAAAATTAGAAGAACATTTTATCAGAGTTACTAACATTTTCTAGAATGATTAGAACCAGTTTACGGACAAATTTATTGTTGCTATGCTCTGTTAAACTATTGTTTAAGTTAATTTTTTTCTTTCTCTTGTTTAGTCAGTGGCGAGAAGAAGTACGAGAAGGATTACCAGGTAATGGGGTTATTCACGAGTCGAGTACAGTTCTTAGGAAAAAATTTGTCCACTGTTCTCGGGTTATTTCATATATCAAACTACAGTGACTTTGTTATAATTCGATTTTTAAGTTATGCAGTCTGGCTGGGATCTGTTCATGTGTATTTTTGTAATCTTATTATGATTTGTTTTTTCATGATTGTTATTTGAATTAGTCTATAACTAGAGATGCATACATTCATTGACACCTGAATTTTTTGTGATAACAGCCTGAATTCACTGGATTTATTTTTTTATTTACATAAATATTTTGATTCTTTCTGTACTGAAAAAGTGTAGAAATAATGTATTATGAGTTTAGTTTTTTATCATGTAAAAAAGAAGAAGGCATAAGAAAACAAACACACACACACGTTTTTACTTAATTTTGGCAATTACTGCATGAAGATAATAAATTAATACAAATGTGAAAGACTTAGAAAAAAGTAAAAGTTAAAGCAAAGAAGTAAAATTAAAAGTAAAACTAAGTGGATTAATAAGAATGACAAAACCTTCTTAAACCCAGCTCTCGTAGACTTACATCTTGTTTGTTTTCAAAACCTTCTAAAACCCAGCTCTCGTAGACTTACATCGTGTTTGTTTTCTGACCTTCTTGTACATACATCATAGACTTACATCGTGTTTGTTTTCAAAACCTTCTAAAACCCAGCTCTCATAGACTTACATCGTGTTTGTTTTTCATGTACATACATCATAGACTTACATCTTGTTTGTTTTCTGACCTTCGTGTACATACGTCATAGACTTACATCTTGTTTGTTTTCTGACCTTCATGAACATATGTCATAGACTTACATCTTGTTTGTTTTCTGACCTTCATATACATACGTCATAGACTTACATCTTGTTTGTTTTCTGACCTTCATGTACATACATCATAGACTTACATCTTGTTTGTTTTCTGACCTTCATGTACATACGTCATAGACTTACATCTTGTTTGTTTTCTGACCTTCATGTACATGCATCATAGACTTACATCTTGTTTGTTTTCTGACCTTCTTGTACATACGTCATAGACTTACAAGACCAGTGTTAATATATGATGTAAACATGGCCTGGTGGTTACAAGACCAGTGTTAATATATGATGTAAACATGGCCTGGTGGTTACAAGACCAGTGTTAATATATGATGTAAA